AATGCTTGAGATAGGATCATGGACTTAATCCCTAGTAATTGCCACGACCATGTCTGTAACCCCTACAAATAGCATTAAAGCTGTGCCACTGGTCGCAAAATTAGAAAAAACACACACACCAACTTTCAAGAAATCTCTTCCTATTGATAGCCAATGTGGCTGGGAAGGAGAATAACAACCATCTCTACAAATAAATGAACAAACGAATAAGAAAATGCTCCAGAGTGGCCCTGGCTGGCATGGCTCAGTTGGTTGAATGTCATGCCCTGCACCGAAAGATCCCCGGTTCGATTCCTTGTCAGGGCACATATCCGGGTCCTCAGTGAGAGTACACACATCAGAGGCAAATGATTGATGTTTTTCTTTCACATTGATGTTTCTCTCTCTCCCTCTCTCCTTTTTCTTCTTCTCTTTCTAAAAATCAATGAAACATCAGTATTTAAAAAAACACACAAAACAGTGCTCTAGACTGTTTTGAAAGACCATGACTCACTACAGTCTTTTCATGATACCAAAAGAGAGATCTTCCTTTGACACCAAAATAGTCACTGAAGAAGCTAACATTTTTGAGTGCCTGCATATATGTTTGCTTCCTCTGTTCAAATGCAAAGCTCCAAGCCAAGCAAACCAGGAAACTACTCATGAAAATGACAATTTAATGTGGCTCCCCTGTGTTGTTTCTTAGCGTGGTGCATTTTTAGTAACTGATTTAATGATATCCTTAAAGCAAGTAAGCTTTTCTTGGATGATAGGAAATGCATGGTAAGATCCCATATCTTTATAAACTCCAGCCATGATGAAAATAGCAAAATTAAGTTGTGTCGTAGTGGTGCATTTTTAGTAACTCCCCGGAAGCTGGTTCTCCTGTCCTCTTTCCTCATCCTTTTTAACGAACTCATTGCAGAACTCAGCGCACTTGAGCTGTTTTTCCAAGAAAAACAAGAGGAATAAAAAGGGATGGACAGCTCCCCGGGAGGTATGGTGAGGAGGAGGTGGGCCTGGCTTAGGTTGGGTGCCTCCAAGATAAACCAATCAAGCATTCCCCAAGTTTACTCAGGGAAACACAGTGGATCCTTTTGATCACGGAGGAGCTGGTTTCTATTCAGAGTCATCCAGGCATTCTCCCCAACCGCGTGGCGATGGTTAGCAGGGAGGCCCAGCTTCCAGGATTCAGCTGGAGTTTAAGTTGGCCAGTCCGCTGTGAACAGGCCTCTGTGGTCCCAGCTGGGCCCGAGGGGATGCGTGGTCCCTTGGCTAACACACAGGAAGTCAGTTGGCACACGTGTTCATTTAAGTGAGCTGTTAGGTTCCGATTCCATTTCCCTGTGTACACATGGCGGAAGAGTACACCAGCGCTGCATTGCAAACTTGAAGAGAGCTGGGTAGGAACTTGGAGATGGGTTTTCCTCCTCTACTGAAGACCCCAGAGCACAGAGACAGCTGGCATAGGAACGAGGGCTGGTGTGGGCATGGGGAAGGTTACTTTGGGCATAGCTTCACAGAACGGTGTATGTATGGATGGGGAGCTCATGAATGGACTTGCTTTGTACTTGACAGTTGAACTCAGCTCTTGTGAAATTAGGTTGTGTGGCTGTGAGTAGATAGAAACTGGGTCTGACAGGTTACTGTACCTGTCTCCTCCAACCCTACCTTGCATTGGAAACCTCATATGTTGAGTCGTTTTCTGTAATTTTTTTTTATTGGGTAAATGTGTAACGAGTCACCTTGACATATGCTGTGTCCTATGGAAAAGGAAGTGTTGCAATAACAGCACAAATCTTAGGCCATGAATTAGGGTGTGTGTTTTTTTGTATTCGAAGTGGTTTGCCTCTTTATTTAGAGTTCTGGGTATCCACGAGGGCTCAACCCTGTTACATTACCATGATTTCTCTTGCACCTCATCACCCCCCCCCTTTCAATGTACGCACCTGTGTGTGCGTTTATCTGTGCATGGCTGTGGGTGTGTATGTGTACTCCATGGAATATTCTATCTCAGGCTTTTTTTTTTGGGGGGGTGTGGAGATCAGGTCTGGTTTAATGATTGGCTGGATGGGAACGAGAAAAGGAAATTTAAAACACTAGCCTTTATGAAAGCACAGGAGCTGGAAACAAATTTTTAAAAAAACCCTCTTTTGAAAAATCAACCAAAGACTGTTTATGCAGTTACTGAGGGCCCTTTATAATTTGGGTGTTACTAATTTGAGTGAGTGTTATCATCTGAATGAAGCGAGGCCCATAAATTCTATCCCTGAAAGTCAACACTACTTTGAGCAAAAGACACTAAATCATGGGCGGCCTGCTTAATAACTAAAGTTTGTCCTCCCTTTCTCCACCCAATGCTTACAAAGGGCTCTTTTCCAAGTAAAATACTTGCCCATTACTGGTTACATATACCGTATTACCTCATTTATTCTATGCAAACTCACCGCTGGCCATCCAAAAGACACTTCTATGATCCTATACTCCTTAACGGACTTTAGTATAATGCAGAACCGCCTTGGGCCCTTTCCCAGCTTACTAAGTACCCAGGTTACCTTGCTTCAAGATTCACCCGAGCCTCCATCATAGATCCTCCAGGACAGCATCTGAGTGAGGTGCCCAGGTCCCCCCAACATCTGTAAGGAGACTCTCAAGGAAGTCCTGTGGAGGCACTGCTCTGTGACTATTTTTTTCTTCTTATTTTATTTTATTTTATTTTATTTTATTTTATTTTATTTTATTTTATTTTGTGTTTATTGATTTTAGAGAAAGAGGAAGGGAAAGGGAGAGAGAGAAAAACATCGATGTGTGAGTGAGGCATCAGTAGGCTGCCTCCGAAGCCTGAAACCCGGGCACGTGCCCGGACTGGGGATGGAGCTGGCAATCTCTTGGTGCCCAGGATGACACTCAGCCACCTGAGCCACACGGGGGTCAGGGCTCTTACACCTTTTAGACTTCTGTGTGATTGACCGGCAGGCTTTCCAGCTTTGACGTTGGCTTGCCTTTTTTCTTTTAGTTCAGGCAACTGCTGTTTTCTGGTCCAGCGGTTCATGGGGTAGCCGGTCGCGCTGACGAACAAGGTTCTTGAGGCTTGCCTGCTTTACTTCCCAGGGAAGCTGATGGTGGAAGTAGCATCCGCAGCAGCAGCAGGAGACACCATTTGTGAAGCGGTTACTTAACAGGTCCCTCCTCCCCACCCCCATGCACGGCTGATGGGCATCACCGCACTGACACCCGAGGAGCCTGTGGGCGATAGGCTTCTCCACACCCCCATTTTACAGATGAGGAAGTTTGAGAAGGGAGGAGGCATCAGGCCCTGAGGCAGTGAGCCCCTGGGAGATGAGTGACCTCGGAGCCTGTTTTCTTCACTTTCTCTTCCTCACCCGTCATGGGTCACCCTGGAACCACTCATGGACTCCCCGGAGCTGGGAGAGGAACAATAGGGTCGGAATTCACTCCAGCCAGTTTGTCTGAGCCGATAGACATGGAATCTTGGCTCTGGCTCTGTTTATTGGCATTTCGTTGCTCGAGAAATGCATGGACTTCTGGTGTGAACTTGCCCTTGGGGACCTCAGGGAGGAAATTGGATCAAATCACCGCTCCCACCTGAAAATATCATTTAATAACACCCTGTGGAGGTTTTGGGTCTCTAGCTGTAGGGAGGCGAGGCGAGGTCTGGCTTTCCAGTAAAGTCAGAGTCTGCAGGCCTGGGTAGCACTGTGGCCTGGTGAGCCGCAGTGTGGAGGAGGAGGAGGAGGAGGAGAAGGGGCGGCCAGCTGGCGGGGGAACATCTGCCCAGGAATGCCTTTGGAAATGAAGCATCGTCCTGAAAAGCATTCTTTTGAAGGCAGGTTTTCAGGTGTGCTGCACAGCGTTCGAGGCTGTGATTGAAATAGAAAAGAAGGCTTCAAAAGCAGCGATCTGGGTGTTGTTTTTTTTTGGCAATTGTTGTGCTAATCCTGAAATCTGAGCATCAGTTAGTATGAAGGCAGGATCGGATGCCTGAAAGCACCCGTTTTCATCATCGGGCACATCATTCACAACCAAACTGGGTGAGGCTTCACGTCCGAGGGTGACAAACCTCACTTTCATTGATCAAAGCCCACCATAATGGGCCAGGAACAGCCACTGGGGCCCCTGGCAGCTGCGAAGAGGAGACCCCGCCATTCTGAAAGCTTGATGCAGGGGAGAGATTTGCTTCAGTTCACGTACAATGACGTGGTCCAGGCAGTGTGGTTTAAAGGACTCTAGTGAAGCTCCAAAGGAATGAATCCATTTTCAGTTAAAATCTGGGTCTGGCCGAAACTGGATTGGCTCAGTGGATAGAGTGTCGGCCTGTGGACTGAGAGGTCCTGATTCAGTTCCTGTCAAGGGCATGTACCTTGGTTGCGGGCACATCCCCAGGAGGGGGTGTGCAGGAGGCCAGCTGGACGATGTTTCTCTCTCATCCATGTTTCTAGCTCTCTATCCCTCTCCCTTCCTCTCTGAAAAAAAAAATCAATAAAATATATATTTTTTTAAAAATCTGGGACTGGATGACAATGTTCCACGCGGTGGAAGCTGGCTGTTGGCAGAAGGCCTTGTCCTAGCAGTTGAGTCATCGGTTCCTTTGCAGCAGGTGCAGGGCCTGTGCTTGCCTTGGCTGGCCCGTTCCATGTGAGAGCACGGGGCCCCAGGGGCCATGGGGACGTCAGCCTGGAGATCTAAGTAAAAAGCCGGCGAGGTCCCCACCCTGCACACCCCCCCCCCCCCCCCCCCCGACACGGGTGCATCGGCACCCAACCAGGCAAACAGCAGCAATGGGTGTGGATCCTGCCTCTGGATACTCAGCGCTGATCACAATCCATGTGTACATGTGGTTTCTTTTTCTTAAGTCCTCCCAGCGTTAGAAAGTGACAGCTGAGCGCCTGTGTATGGGCCGGGGCGCCTCGGGGGCCGGGAGGCTGGGAGCCCTGTTCCCTGTGTGGTCCTGGGAGGGCCCTCACCAGTGTGAACTGATGTTGTTTTGCCCTTTTATCTAGACGCACTACTTTGGCCTCTGGTTTCTCAGCAAGAGCCAGCAAGCACGATGGGTGGAGCTGGAGAAACCGCTGAAGAAACATCTGGACAAGTTCGCTAACGAGCCTCTGCTTTTCTTCGGAGTCATGTTCTACGTGCCAAATGTGTCATGGCTTCAGCAGGAGGCCACGAGGTAGGTGCATGCTCCTCCCCGCATTCCGTGTCAGGGCGTGGACGAGTGGCAAGGCTTCTGATGAAGGACATGAGCTGGTTCATCTAGGGGGTGTGTGCGTGTGCGTGTGCGTGTGTGTGTGTGTGTGTGCGTGCATGTGTGTGTGTGTGCGTGTATATGTGTGTGTGCGCGCGCGTGTGTGCGCGTGTGTATACATGTGTGTGCGCGCGCGTGCGCATGTGTGCATGTGCGCGTGTGTATGTGTGTGTGCGTGCGTGTGTGCTTGTGTGTGTGTGTACATGTGTGCATGTGTTCGGTGGGCAGTAGATGGGGATTCTTCTCCAGTTGCTTTTCAGCTTTAGAATATTTGTTTGAATTCATGTTGCTAACTCTGACTCAGCTGTTCCCTACAATGCTCATAAGACAGCAGTGATGCTGAGTCAGGTAGAAGTTCGTGTCATTGGGTGCTGTGGGGTAAATAGGCTAGAATCTAATTGAAAAATGGACCTCCTACTTACTGGGTAGTCCATGCCTTCACTCACAATGTCCACAAACAAAATGTGCCTTCAGACTTTGGATTTGAGTGTTGGGAAGGTAAGGGGAGATGGGAGTAGAATTGAGGAAAACATGGAGGGACAAGAGTTTTGATTGACATGAGGGGAGACCCACCCGGGGATTGGTCCCTTTCTCCTGCTCATTGGCTGCTTAACCTGCCATCTTTGGAGTGATATTTCTCCTTATGAGAGGGATTTGGATAATTCCTCAAGTTCTGATAGTCTGTGATTCTATGAATGACACGAATGTATTTTTGTTGGTGGTGGTACAGTTCACTTATTGGTAAGAGTTTTCCATTAAAATGTCCTCGTTGGGGGGCTATCTCATCCAGTGGTTATTTGCAGTAATAAAAGGTATTGCTTGAACTCTCTGATTTTCGCCTTTTCCCTGGATCATGGCATTCCCAGTGCGTGGGTGGCAGGGCCAGTGACATGCTGAGACAAAGGAGCAAGTGGCATTCGACTCGATGCGTGCATGTGTGGTTTCTTAGATTTTAACTTTCTGAAATAGAATGTACTTGACATTTTTACATATGCATTTTGAGGTAATGGCTTCCATCATTTTTTTTTTAAATAAAAAACTTGTTAAATTAGGTGGTTTTTATGTAAATAGAGGGCATGAGATAGCTCCCAGTCTGACCCAGGAAACCTGTGCTCAGTCTTTCAGGTGCCATTCCTTTGAAGCATTTGGTTGTATACTGCCATCCATTGTTTTCAAGTTATCTCACTTATCTAAGTCCTTTTTTGAAAATGTTTTTTATTGATTTCAGAGAGGGAGAGAGAGAGAGAGAGAGAGAAACATTCAATGTTAAGAGAGAGTCATGGATTCCCTGTCCCCTACTGGGGATCGAGCCCACAATCTGGGCATGTACCCTAGACCAGAATCGAACCTGGGACCCTTCAGTCCACAGGCCAACGCTCAATCCACTGAGCCAAACCGGCTAGGGCTAAGCCCTTTCTGTACAAGAAGCGATTTACGCCTCACATGTGGACGAATCCTGCTGGCTTATGAATCCTTGCTGAGAACTTACACAGTTAGGAAGATAGCATTGGGTTAATAAGTACTTGCCGATCGTGGCTCTCGGACCATTAACTGCAAGGCAATGAGTAACAAGACTGAAACACGGGCTATAAATTAATGCCTATTGAAAGAAGTCATCCGTGAGAAAAAAACGAAGTGATGCTACTTTATTTATTTATTTTTTTAATATACTTTATTAATTTTTTACAGAGAGGAAGGGAGAGAGATAGAGAGCTAGAAACGTCGATGAGAGAGAAACATCGACCAGCTGCCTCTTGCACACCCCCTACCGGGGATGTGCCCGCAACCAATGTACATGCCCTTGACCGGAATCAAACCTGGGACCTTTCAGTCCGCAGCACGACGCTCTACCGCTGAGCCAAACCGGTTTCGGCAGAAGTGCTGCTACTTTAGACAGACTTACCCTGCTAGGTCTGTTGCCTCAGAAGAGCAGTTGAAATGGCGAGGGACTTGGGCATTGTGCTTTAAGAAGTTAAAGAAATCACGCCAAAACTGGTTTGGCTCAGTGTATAGAGCGTCGGCCTGTGGACGGAAAGGTCCCAGGTTCGATTCCGGTCAAGAGCATGTACCTTGGTTGCTGGCACATCCCCGGTAGGGGGTGTGCAAGAGGCAGCTGATCGATGATTCTCTCTCGTTGATGTTTCTAACTCTATTCCTCTCTGTAAAAAAAATCAAGAAAATATATTTAAAAAAAAAAAAGTTAAATCAGTTTGTTTGGAAAAATGAAGACTTGTGAGGGTGTGGTGGCTGCCCTGTGATATATGAAGACTTTTGGGGAGGAATTCTGTGTTTGTTCTGGAACCCAAAATTAGGGCTGATAGTGAAGTTCAAGGAATTGAAAGGCTTTGGTTATTTGACTCAACATAAGAAGATGGCTTCTAATGGTTAAGCCCATAAAAACGCGGAGCAAGCAGACAGAGACGGGCAAGGTCCCTGGCGTCCGGAATTGCGGGCACAGAGCAGGTGGTGAGGTGAGGTTCCACGGAGGAGACTGTCATAGGGGGTGGGATGTTGGAATAAACCAGTTGCTTCAACAGACTAGGGCTTGCTATATCCTAATTACCCGGAGTGCTTATTGTAAACATGGATTCTAGGGCTGCACCAGAAGTCTGCATTGGAATGGCTAAGGCATGTCTAAGGGGATTATGCGTTGTTTAAAATAATAATTCCTCGGGTGGTTCTGATGTTCGTTCATACTTGGGATTCAATAGATTAATTAACCTCTAAAGTTTTGTATCGTTTTCGGTTTTCCAGGTAAGTAAACTTAACGCTTACATTATCGGGCTGTCAGTATTTGCATTCCTAAGCTGAAACAAAGCAAAACGTGTTGACCCCTCAAGTTTGAGGTAAAGAGTAAGGGTTTTTGGTGGTGCTGGTTATTGAGGCTGAGAATTAGGTGGCACGTCTTTCCCTTTCCTTTAGAATTCCTTTTGCTTCGTGAGCATGGTCCGTTTAAGATGAAGTTCGATTAGGAGGGACAATGTTTTCCAACACGAGATTCTGAAGCAAACTCTATGACTGCCGTTTGCTCAGAAAAACTAACAAAGAAAATAATGCAGTGCTTGGAGGACACTATTAAGCTCAAATGTTGGAACTAAACTATGTAGGTTTCTGATATAACCTTTTATGGTGAAGTATGCTTAAAGTTAGGAGCTGGTTAGCATGAGGAGGGATGTGTGTGTGTGTGCGTGTGTGTGAGAGAGAGAGAGGGAGGAGAGGAGGAGAGAGAGAGAGAGAGAGAGAGAGAGAGAGAGAAAGAGAGAGAATTCCAGGAATTTTTTTTGCCTCCAGGTGCCTTAGAACTGGAATGCTTCAAGGGGTGTCAGAGCAAACCAAAGCCTTAACCTGGGGCAATGGAGAAATAAGAGAGAAGGATTGTATGTACAGGAAGGACAATGTATAGAGGGAGAAAGGAAAGCAAAAGGGACTAACATACACATGGGAAGGTTGAGGGCCGCCGACAGTGACTCAGGTGTGATTCAGTGAGACCTGCCGTGGGTGGAAGGCACATAGACTAGAGTACAAAGAAGACACGGGTTGGACAGAATCGCATCTTTTGATGCTCGGGGTTTCTGGGTTTGATGTTAGAGGCAAATAGATGGGCTGAATTCAAGGTGAAGGATGTTCCTCAGAGTCATTAGGAGCCTTTGAGGGAGTGTGTGTGTGTGTGTGTGGGGGGGGGGGGGGCAGAAATCTGAGCAGTGTCAGGAGGTTTTAGAAGCATCTGGGGTCCCATCTGAGGCAGAGCAGGCAGGAGGAGCGGTGGTGGGGCGGGGCTCCAGAGGAATCCTCCCTGGAGGAGGAGGGCGGTGACTAACTCGGCAGCCATCCGCTGTAATTCCAGTTTCCAGGCCGCTCAGGTGGGAGATGGGCTTTGGCCTCTGCGAGCACCTGGGACCGGCTGTGTCTGACACCAAACAGTTCGTCTTTGTGATGCCCACAGAGAGAGAGAGATTTGCATAGATTAGAAATAGAAATCTGTCTTTCAGGGCGGGCAAACCCTTTGGAGAAGGCAACCATTCAACCATCTGTGCTTAAAAAATAAGCCTTTGTCTGAGCCAACCAAACCTGTTTTCACCCAACACATGTTTGCAGTGGCCTGGCTCCCTCTCTCTGAGAGGGAAGCTGGTTCTGCAGAATTCATCAGGACCAGCACTTCTCCTCTCGGAAGAAGGAGAGTTTAGAAGTAAACTTTTAGTTTGATGTGTGTGTCAACCCATGTATATTAAGACCCATAGGGGTGAAAGGAAGTTACAGTTAAGAGGCATGTGTTTCATTTCTTATCACCAGATAATCCCTCCCTTGAAGACTTGCAGATTAATAGACTATACAGCCCTGGCCTGTGTGGTTCAGTGGTTGGAGCATTGGCCCGTGCACCTAAGGGTCATGGGTTTGATTCCTAGTCAAGGGCACGTACCTGGGTTGCAGGCTTGATCCCTGGTCCTGGTTGGGATACATACAAACACACAACCAACTGGTATCTCTCATCTCTCTCTTTTTTTTTCTTCTCTCTCTCTGTCCCCTCCTTCCCTTCCACTCTCTCTAAAAATCAATGGGAAAAATATCCTCAGGTGAGGATTAAAAACAACAACAAAAAATGGACTATACAAAACAAACCAACAAAAATTTTCCAATGTTGTTGGCTGCAAACTGTTTAAGAAAGCAATGGGCTTTATTGAAATTATCAAGTCCAGATGTTTTTTTAAATTAGGAAATTAAGAAGCTCTGTTTCTTGACGTTCATTTTGACATACTGTGTCTCATCTCCTGGATATTCCTTTTGAAGAACAAATCTCTGCATAAGTGAGGGAAATCAGCCAAGATACTAATGATTGCGTTGGGGGAGAAATGAACCACTCAGGCCCTAGTTTTAGGTGATAATTGAAGAAGAAGACAAAAGATATTAGAAGGAGAATACACATAGGA